CCATTCTACATGAGAAGCTATTGTTAAACATGAATCGACGAAAATTACTCCGACGCGGAGTACGTTTCTGCGAGTTAATTTTCCGTATACCGCCTGTATCCTGATGAATTTTCCAAAGAGAATCATAGCGAACTTCCGGGCACGATGCTATGCAAGTGCGTATTCATTACGCAAAAATTACAACGACGCCGTCGGGAATAACAGCTCTTTTCCCCTGTGCGCGAGTTTCTGCAAATACTAATTCATTACAACGTCGGCTAATGATAGAAAATCGTGTGGATATTGTATAACGAAGAACTCGCTTTTCTAGCTATGTGATTAAGATTATTTGAAATCTACGTTCCACCAATATGCACATCGTGATCACAATAGCACCGATCGGATGAATTATTTCCTACTCTGCGATAAATAGCAGTTTGATATCGATATGAGTAGATTACACGAACTATTTTCATTGCATATATTTTTCTAATTTGCAACGTGGTCACTTTTTTTACTATTCTCGTTTTGGATACTTAGGACCAAAATAAAAATTCGAAAAAACATAGGACAGTAGTGATTTTTTTTTGGCAATTGAAGTATATGATTTGTGCATTTGTCTATACAAAAATATACCATGTATGTATTTTTAAAATTATTAAGGAAGCGTAATTTTCTTAATTTTCCCTATACTTTTTTCCTACTTATACTTTCTATAAGAGTTTATAAAAATTATCTTAAAACAAAAAAACGATGTTCGATCGTCGAAAGTATACATTAAAATCTCGATTTGTGATATTTTTAAATTTAGTTTCTATTTTATTTTTTATGTCGATAGACATGAAAAAGAAAAAAAAAATATATGTAATCCAAATTTTGCGAATTATCATTGGAAATACGTGTGGAGCTTCTTTTAAAAAATTTTTGTTCTTAGAATATTCGAAATTATGAATAAGGATATATGCAGTTGCATAAAAATTCTATTGATTAATTAGCACCAACAATTTTGTGTGTGTGTGTGTGTGTGTGTGTGTGTGTGTGTGTGTGTGTGTGTGTGTGTGTGTGTGTGTGTGTGAGACTTACATTAAAGCCATGTTTCTTTGATATCAGTACGACGTCTTAAGTACCGGCATCATATTAAAGCCGTGCTGTAATACCGGCACATTACGATGAATTATTATGATACACACTTCGGCGACCGGAGGCAAGATCGCCTAGGTGTTGTCTCTAGTCAATTAGTCTCGCGATTGCCGGTCTCGTCACATGGAGGGGTCCTCACGTGGCAGTCGGTCAGGGCCGTGGAGCACGCGTGGCCCGTCGAACAAAAGGGGGATACCGCGATGGAAAACGAAAGAGCGATATCTGTCGGACGATCGGACATCGGTGACGGGGTAGCGTGAGGAAAGCGCGGACATCGGTAGCGAGGGGAGGGCCAGGTCGATGATACAGAAGGGTGAGAGTGCAGTTTACCTATAACCCATAAATCGACCCCACTTTTCTATTAAGAGACGCACGATTGACTTGCGTTGGTCGGCTTCCTTCTCCTCCCACGTCGCCGTCGTTGCCGATATCGCCGATGCGCCTCTCTTCCGCGCCTCTCTTCTTTTTTACTCTCTTCCCACTTTCCGATCCCCGCTACTCTTCTCCCTTCCCCTAATCAACCTGCTTGGTACCCCTCGCCCCGTCGCCCCGGCTGTCTCGTTTATCCATCCCCACCTGCTGTTGCATCCTGCGCAAACCTCGTTCAATCCCCTACCCAACCTGTTCGTCGTCGAGCTTTTTTCTCTGCACGCGGAGAAGCTCGGGAACATGGCCAGCGCCGTATCGACGGGGGGGGGGGGAGGAAGGGGGAGTCAAAGAATCGCGATTCTTCTTCTCCTCGTTCCCGTCGTGCCGCGTCGCCCGATTCCCGATGTTCATCGTCGATTCTTCATTCAGGCGATCGCGATTACATCGGCATGATAAATGGATCGGATAGAAAAGATTAAAGATTTGCAGAGATTTCTCCCCCGTAATTTTGACGATGGTGGTCTTATAATCTGCTCGGTTTACCCTTCGCGCTAACATAACATAGAGATAGTAACAAGTGTATAAGAATATTATTATAATTTATATCCTCTGTAAGTTTTACACATTGTAGTCCCGATTGGCTCCAAAAAGAATACCAAGTCTTCTCTAAAGCCCTACGATTTTTTTTCAATTATTTTTTATATTTTTATAGTTTACGAAAACGACACTTCAATTCCGAGCGGTTTAATTGTGTAAGTCAGGCTTACAAATTCTGTCTCACATCGTATCCTTCCATGAAAATCGCATCGCGTACCGCTCTTACGTCTTGAATGTGGGGAGTCGGCTTTCGGAAATTCTCTTATCTGGCGGAATTAAAACTTCTTGACGTTTGGATAATCTCGGGACGTTTTGAAAGCTGGGAAACAATGGATACGGTCGTGCATGGCACGGTCGTCCGTCGACGGACAGCGGGAATCGAAATGGAAATCCAGATGTAATTACCAATTCGCGGCATAATCATCGAGGCTTCACGTATTAGCCCTTTAAATTTCGTCAAATCGCGCCGATGCGGCGAGGGCGCGGGCGAGAGAAAGAGATAAACGATCGCTCATATCGGTATTCTGTAATTCAGGGAGTTACGAGCATTTGTACAGAGCAACGCAAATCGGACCGCTCTTGATAAATCTAGTTAGTTTCGCTCGTCGCTGATACATAATTAAAGTGTAAACTTCCCCAGCATGCGCGCCGATGAACGGGATATCTTCCGATACTGATATGGCCGATATTAGCCGTCACTCGATATCTTGTCAATTCGCGTCGCGCTTAAAAACTTAAACTTTCACACCTGGCTTATCTGGGTTCTCGAATCTCACGCCGATATCTTCCTTCGCGCGAACCGATGTCTTTTCTGCCGGGAGATGAATGCGCGTGGCTTCCCGCTATACTTCTTGACCGATAATTTATCGCATTCACTGACACGATGCATAATGTAGCGAGTACCATCGAGAATAATTAAGTGAAAATTAATAATTTATATTTCGCTCTGTATGAATACGTGGCCATCTCGTATAATTTCGTCTTTTATGCGCATTATATTATTATTTTGCACACCGAGTTGCCTGATTACATTAAATCTGCGAGATGTTTCGTGGGGTAGGAGACAACGCGTAGAATTTAAAACTACAAACCAACGTAGCTTCGTTAGCTTTTCTCCTACCTTTTTTTTTCTTCGATTTTATTGCGATTTGCTTATATCCGATAATTAACAAATGCCAATTGATCTAACATCTGCTAAATGTTTTATAACTATCCGTATAGTACGAAATAGGAAGATTAATGATTCGAATAAATATTCGGATGATTTCACTCTGATTATCTTATTAAGGAAATTTATACAAATCTCACACATCTCATTGGAAATCTCATTGAGATCACCGTGATTTAAAAATCAAATGCGATTAGTTGGTCATTGTTAAATTGTATTATCTTTGCAATTTTACATTACACTCAAATAAATCAACCTTTACTTCTGTTCTGAGGAATTATTCAGAGAACTGGACTTAAAGCGCAACGAATGTTACGTTTTACGGATTCGATACGGGCTCTATCGTGCGCATTACGCGCAGACTCGCATATCGCGATATCGATACATCGACTGAATGCCAGTACCGATTATACTTGACTAATGCGTAACCTTGATACATCCCCGTGTTAATTACAGACGATCGCACTAAAATGTCGTAATCCATTTAAAGCATTCAGCAGTAAGTTTGATACGTCTCATTGGTCAGATGTAATCGGGAGATACATCGCACGTGTCACTGATTGATACTTGCCGTTAATACGGGGGATTAGAGAAGGAAGATGATTAACAAACAATTCTCGAGGCTAATTGAAGACGCAAACGACTATCGTCGTATAGAGGGAGTACGCGTGTACGCGTAAGATACGAATTCTAAAGCGGTGCTATGCCTAAACAGCGTGAAGCAATAAACCGATCGGTAATAACCTCGACGCGTCTCATTAAGCATCAGGCATAATCGATCGTCAAACAGCGGCCGTGTAAACACCCGACCAAAGACGGGCGCATACATTACGCGCCTCAAGTATCGTATATAGCACCGAACGAACGTATCGCGCCGTAACATCGCGGGAGGGGGCAGAGGTTGGTTCGAGGGACCTCTTAAAATACACCCCTGGGGGCGAAGCTGAAGAGCGCGGCGAACACGCGAGCGACGGAGACGGCGGATGGTCGGATCGACGTCGACGTCGGCGGCAGGTGGAGGCGGAGGGGTGGTCGGGACAAAAAAAAAAGAGAGAGAAAAAAGGGCAGAGGTGGGAGGGCGAGCGGGGAAGCGCGGGAGACGAGGCTGCGCGAGTAAGGGGGTTGAGGCGCGAGGGGTATCGGCGAAAAAGATGCGGGGGTCGCGGGAAAGGGCGCCGCCCCAGCGACGAATTTTCGGGCACGCGGCCATTGTGGCGCGGGGGCGTGGCTGCGCAGACGCTCGAAAAGAAAAATCGACGCGGTCCACGGGGATGAAAAGCAGCGCGCGCGCCGCGACGGCGGCCCGGCGGCAAAAAAAAAGAGAACGGCTAAGAGGGCCAGAAAGAGGGAGGAAAATGCGCGCAGCGGCGCTGGGCGAAGAGGGTGATTCTGCGCCGCGGCGCGGCGGATCGCGCAACCCTCTCTCGCGAAAATCATCCCCTCTTTTTCTTTCCCTCGCACTCTTTCCCGATCTCACGGGGTTATCATCCTCTCTATCCCTCTTACGCTCTTTCTCCGCTAGCGATCGACGTTCTCCGTCCCACTCTTGCCCCTTCGGTACCTTCCGCGCTCTTCCGTCGTTCCCCTTTCGTCACGGTAACCACCCCTTTGGTGCTCCTCATGAGTCCTCTCTTTCTCCGCGTTACCGGCTGGAGTACCGGAACAGGAGCGTCGGCGCGAAGGGGCACGGAGGGAAAAGGGGATTAGCGAGGAACACATGAGGCGGTAAGGGACGCGCGGGGGATAGCGAGGTGACGGTGGCGGGACTGGTCGTAGGAGTACGTAGAGCGAGTAGCATCAAAATTATTTTCCAACAGGCACCACCGCCGGCGCGGTACCACCCCGAAATTTCAGCCCTTTAATTTCAGATGGTATGATAATTCGCGACGATATTTCACACGAGTCTGGAACCTGGCTCAACGTGGATTTTATTGCGGCTGTAAGGGGGTGGAAGGGAAGACCACGTACGGTACGAAAATTTCTCGGAATTACCAAAAAGGCCCTACGAAAAGGGACGTACGGTGAAGTTGTTAATTAATCTAGGCGTCTGGGCCGCGGTCGACCGATCCTCGTCCTACGTCAAATTGAATGCGCCTTTTCGGTACGTTGAAAATAAATGAATTGCACGAAAAGACTTTTCTTCCCGTTAGGAAATTTTCGATATAACATTTGCAATCTGTGTCGCGAGTTGCGGATCTGTGTTGCGAGTCCGAGATTTGAAATTTTGATTTCCGTTAAAGAATACAAATTATTAAATCCAGATGGCAGGGAGTACGATAGTTCATAAAAATGCTTGTGAAGGCTCTTGTTGGCAATTAATAAACGGTTGGAAATTAGTGATTTTCCAAGAGACGTACGATGTAAAAGCGGTTACCAAACAATACTGTAATGATTCATGCAGAATATTAGTATGTAACGCGAATAATAATTTGACTGCTATACCTGCGTTGTAATTATTAGATCTTGCGGCCGTTATTCATGATTTCATTTGAAATTCATCGTAATAGCAACAATAGCAAAATCTGCTAAAAGGCTTTCCAACGGCATACTCTCTCTCTATTATAATAATTCGCGTATAATAATTAAAGTTGCAGTAAATGCACTTATGGTTTTTATCGAAATACGTGATGATTCCATTAATAAAGAAAAAAAAAAATTTGAATTTTTATCAACCTAAAATTTGTGTACAACAGAGTTACGATATTTTCTCAAGATTATATATTTTTCATTAATTCTTATATTTGCATGCAAGCAGCATAAAGCTTAACTTAAAACGTGAATAATATTAAAAATAATGTTAATAAAGAAGAAAATAATTAATATCATTTCTACAGAGACATAAAGCGGTGATTAAATTATTTGTCGGATCTCTAATATGCCAAAAGGATGAAAATAATCTCATAACATTACTTATTATGTCTCGCGTTTGTAATAACTCTATATGAAAGTATATTAATTAATTAGCAAACATTCACAATCTTTTTAAATTTTCTTTTTCAAGAAAAAAAGCAAATTCAAGACTGAGGAATCTAAATAGATATTAAAATATATTCAAAAGTTATATACTCGTTCTTTAAAAAAATATTTTTAATAATATTATACTACAGTCGTCGTGTACTAATTTTTTTTAATTGTGACTTTTTTTCAGTAAAATACAAATGTCCCTCGCTTTAGAGCGAGGAGAACAAATTAAAAGTAAGCGTTGGAAATAGTAGAAACCCTAAGTAAAAAGGGCAAACCTATGTTTTATGGGACATTTCTTCGGGATAATCTCGAAGTCAGTCATGATGCCTAATTCCGGACGAGCTATAGGCGACCGCGCAAATGGGCTAAATACCCTCGCGTGTTTCAGCATCCATGGGGGTGTTGTGGGCGCCGACCGTTGCTGACTGGGCGAGACAGGGTGAAGGAAGGGTCGGCGTGCCGAGAAGCACCCTGGTCTTTATTCCCAACAGCGCAAAGCGGCGCAATTTCGTTTTCGGGGGAGGACGAAGGTACGGCGAGATTGGTGGCAAGGGAGGGGAAGGGGAAGAAGGCAGCAATGGAGAAGGATCAGGAACCGCGCAGTCGACGGAAAGGAGTGAGCGAGAGGAGTGGCAATTTTTTAAAATTAAGGCTGTTAAACCTAATCTCCAGGTGTGCAGGCGCAAGCGCATAGAAGTCGTAAAAATTCTCGTGTGCTGTATTCGTGCCCGCAACCCCTCTTCTCCCTCCGTCTCTCCTCTCTTCTCTTTCGTTCCTGCTTTTCCACGCACCCTTCCTACGCCTTTCGAGCGACGTCGTTCTCGTCGCGCCCTCAGCCTCCCTAGCCGGTGGTTAAATTGCCGCACGAAACGTTCTTAATGTCCAACCACGGCGACCTCCGTCTCTCTCTCTCTCTC